GCAGAAGCAAACATTCTCTTCAGCTTCATGAAAGAGAATGCACAATCAGGATCCTTGCATGATAAAATGGAGGAGCAGTCAAAAGAATCCATTAACTGTAAGCACAGATGCAAACCCTTTTGATTTTATTTAACTATATAGTGTAGTTTCACACTGTACCTGAAATACCAGGTTCTTCCTCTGCGTTTTTACAGGAACAAACCTAAGGTACTGTCTGGCTGGATCAGGCTGGTGTTGTCGTTCTGAGGGCTATCGTGTACCTGCAGGGTTGTGACTCTGCCCACCACAACCTGTCCGGCACGGTCCTTCTCTCTTGAATAAACACGAAAAATGGAAGGGTTTCGTCCAACTCATTCTGAGGGAATACAAATATTAAATATTACATATTTTCCTGATTTGAGTCCTCTCTTGTTTTATTTTTTGTCATCAGATAATAACCCTACTTCAAAAGGATGGGCTGTGTGGCTTTTCTGATGCTTTGGATCAAATTTTCTCCTTTTTATTACCTTAAGATCTTTTTCTGTTGCTCTTCTCTGCTGTTTCTTTCTCAGGCACACTTAACATGTCTTTTAAACTTTTAGTGGAGAATATAGTTGACGTTTATACTGTGGAACAGCTGAAAGAAAAAGCTCTACAGAGCAATGGGAAACCTGAACCAGTCTACGGCATTATTTATGGCTACGTTTCTACACTGGACATTGATGATAATGCACCTAAAATTATTCGCAACAGATGGTAAGCAACTGCCTGGTTTAAATCTATATTAAAAAGTACTTCTCCTGACCCAAAATAGATAGAACGATATTTTAGTCCAGTCCTGGCCACGAAATAAAACTCCTCTGGAGGATGCCATGTGGAGTTCTGTTGTGTAGACTTCTAGAAGCAGCAAGGAAGAGGCGAGGGCTTTGTGAAGGACTTGCTCTTCCTGGTCCTAGAGGAGAGAAAAAGAAAGAGGCCGCTTTGCCTCAGACAGACTTAAAAGTTTAGGATATGGAGAATTTTTTTAAAGACAAAGCATCTCTTGGGAGATCTCTGTCTAGAAAACAGTTTCAGACAAGGAGGAATTGCAAATGTGCATTAATTCTCTTCTTGTGTTTCAGCTCAATATGCCGTTTTGTAGTGAATGAAATGTCAAACACGTGCACTTTCTGCAGCGACGTCTCTTCAGATTCCAGGTCAACTTTTGCAAGCTTTGACATCCTCGTGGATGTGACAGATCACACAGGCACTCTTTATTCTTGTTACCTCTCTGACTGTGTAGCTGAGGAAACCTTAGGCTGCACAGTAAGTAGAAATGTATTTGGTTGCTCTTTTTTGATCTGAGCCGTGAAGCCTGATGAAAATTGCAAATGTATGTAAATGTTCTTGGTGTACGTGTGCGCGTGCACTGGTTAAAAACATTGTGTATGCGAACGGATACACACACACGGGGTTTTAATGAGGCAAAAGTTAGAAGTCAGCAGCTGCTCGCAAGAAACGTGTTAAATGTAAGAGTGACTATCCTATTCAGAGCACCACTTTGAATTAATGCCCGCTTTTCTGAGAACAAGGCTGGAATTCCCGAACTTTGATGCTCAAACACCCTGCAATTTACTCTGATTAATCTGTCTTGGTGCATGTATCACACCAAACACTATGTTAAACCGGAAAAATACAGCTTAGAAATGTATACAAATGTGTAAGATGCTCTTTTCTTCATCATCTTGTTGTGGGGATGTTTAACAACTACAGGCTGAAAAAGCGTTCTGTGATGTCTTGTTATTAACAGGTCCATGAATTCCTTGCCCTAGCAGAAGACAAGAAGACTTCATTGAAATGGCAACTTCTTTTGGAACGAAGCAAGATCTATTTTAAAGTTAGTATTTAATGTTAATTTAAACCAGTGGCTGTTTCCCATTTGGTGGTATATTTAGCCCTGAAAAATTCCACGTCAATTCTGCCGACCTTTTAAAACTAAGAATTAGTTTCTGTGCATATTCAGAGTATTTCAAGTAAATAGTCTTTGTCCTTGGCCAGCCCTGACTAAGGAGCTGATATTTCAAAAGCATGTGCACGTGATTTACTCAGTCGCTGACTTCTGTGGATGTAGGTTTATAATGAATAAATTTAACAGCATCTGTTTGCAAGAATAAGGCACAGGCAGGATTCACACTAGATGGTGCAGTGTGTGGGCTTACCCGAGCCTGTTTCTCAGTAATCTCTGTGTTGGGAAAGAATGCAATTAGATAGGTTTAAAAGCTGCAGTTCTCCTTAGAATCTGCAATTCTCCTTAAAGCACTGACAAGATTAGATTCACGCACCTGGAGCAATTGTTAAAAGATCCACTAATATTTGCAATATCCTCTTCTAATTGCGTGTTGTGTACTGGACTGGATTCCTTTCTCATAGAGCTGCCTGTTCTAGTACAACTCTAAACTGAGTCTTGGTTTTAAACTTGCCCTTCTTAGCAAAGCTGTTCTTGCTTTCCCATCTCCCCAACTCTCTGTTTCCAGGAGAAAACGAACATGTTTTTCTTCAGTAGCATATATAGCATAAAATGTGTGCGCTCAGACAAAATAACGTAAAATATGTATAACCGAATCTGTCAGTTAAGCATGCTGTGTGATATTTGAAAATAATATATTTCAAAGTGCTATACAACAGTAAAAAACAGAGACTGTTAATTATCCTTACAGGTTACTTCATCACCCAGTTGGAGAACCGGACTGAAAGTGAATATTCTTTCATGCAAACTGGCAGACCCTAGAGAGGCGAGTCAGAACTTGTTGGGAAAAGAGATTGGAAATAAGAAATTGCACTATTAATAGCAGCTAGGAAAAAAAGACTTTCTTTGCTGTGTTATTAGAGGTAGAATGCTGTTGTCGTATTTTGCGAAGTCTGTTTTGATGGCAAAGAAATACGCATTCCTAATACCTGTAAGCGGGCTTCTGCGTTGATCTTTTTCGGGTGATTGTATTTTAGATTGCATTACTAGGGCCTCAGCTTAAGAAAAGTTAGTTCTGCTGAACTCAACCCCTTACAAGGGAGATGGAAGCTTTCTCCCTTCCGTTTAGAATGTGTTTGAAAGAACCAGAAATAACAAACAGTACAAGACAGACCTATTGAGTTTCCACGTGTTTATTGCTGCTTTTGTGTTGGTTCAAAAAATAAAGACCTACTTTGAACTGCTGCCTGGGCTCGTGGTGCACCTTGGTGAGTTCAAACATGGAACTCTGGGCTACTGCAAAGGCTTGGAAACAGCCACACCGTTTGCAAGGCTGCTCTCCTTTAGGGCACACGAAGCCTCATTAGGACAAAGGAATCAATTACCAAGGACCTCTGACAACCAGTCAAGCTAAGACTACAAGCAGCAGAGAAGAAAGGATTCTTCTTCACCGAGGTAGTTGCTCTTTGCTGAACGTGAAGAACACAGGTATGCGTATTCTGCCTTTCTTCATATATCTTTTCCTCTTTTAAAACTAATTTTTTTGCTGAGCTTACCCCGCAGCTGACGTGTTCGTTCACCACTCCTCACCTTCTGAGCGTATTTCAAAGAGTGGGAAGACACCGCGGCCCGTCTCTTGCGAAGTGTTTGTTAGGCCGGCATTACCCTGAGGAACCCCAACTGCCCCTGGTGCCCTGCCTACCTGGGAAAACAGCACCACAGAGAGAAAACTACAGAAACGGGCAATTCTGACAGGTGATCCACCAAGGCCGCACCCCCCTGCTCACGTGAGCGGGAACAAGGGGCTAAAATGAGGCGAAATGCGGTGAAATTAAGTGCCTGCATGGTTGTGAGTTCTTTTCACCCTGTGATCTGAAGCATCCTGGAAGCGGCTGCTCTTCCACAGAGGTGCTCGGCTTTGGGCCACGGTCATTTTCTTCGTCAGGCTCCCTGAGTACACGTTTTTAGAACACAGCTTTTCCTAGCAGTTAGTGAGATCTCGCTGAAATAAATGGAAGCATTTAACTTCGGTGCGTGCACATACGTACAGAAATAATCCATCTGGTTTTGTTAGAAATTAGTCCTCTGCAACCTTTGAAAATTTTGATGTACGTGGGGGGAGGGGCTTTTTAATTTTATTTTACGACTTTGTCACTGCTTTGAGTTGAAAGAGAGCTCGCTGTCATGCAAACTGGCAGAGCATGTTAGATCAGCTGGAGTTTGGAAACGGGAAAAGTTATACAGCACGGCTTTTTAACAGCTGGAAACAGTTAACTCCAACTGCTGCACTGCATTGTGTAAGAAATGGCAATTGCCGCAGTTAAGATTTTAGCTGAAAATATATTTAAATCAGTAAAAGACAAGTTCACTGGTGTTCTTTACCAACGAGCTTCTTTGTTCTTGATCTTTTATATTATTTTACTTTTAGAAGCCTATTTAAAGTTCAGTTTAGAGAAAAAAAAAAAGCTGCCAGGCATCTGGCACGTTTCGTGCTGCATGACGCCCCTTGGAGTGGGAGGGAAAGCAATCCTCGTTTTAATTTATACATCTGAAAAATGCACCGAGGAATTGTGAAATTAATCTGTAAAGCAAACATCTTTTTATTACAGAGTACCACAAGGAGAGAAATTCTTTCTGACGGTGCGATTCTTTACTGCTACACACACATTTAATTTTATACAGCATGGGTGAGCTTCCGCTCCTACATCACCATTTTAATGTTTTTATTTTTATTTTAAGGCAACACGTTGGCAAAACCCAAAGCAGCGGCAGAAGAGAAGAGTGTGCCAGCCAGCCCAGCTCCCCTCCCCACCAACAGCTCCAAGGTTCGCGTTGGGTACGAGCCACTTGGGTTGGGTTGGGCTCCACCTTCAGAGCCTCAGAGGAGGCTGAAGCCTCCAACGAAACGGGGCTGTTTTAGTCAAAATCCTTTGGAGCTCACATCTTTGACGTGTGACAGTGCGTGAGATGCCTGGGCCGCTGAAGAGTTTAACGTCCAGCCGTGCTTCTGCTCGCCAGACATTCCCAGAAGAGCCTCTTCCGACACGGGGAGGGTCCCAGCCAGCCAGGCTTCTCGTTAGGATCCTCGTGTCTGCTGCGCCACCTTAAACCGCATGGAGATGACGTCGGTAATGCCCGCCTCGATCTCGTCGTTGGCCTGCACGGGCCCGACTCCTTTGGGAGACCCGGTCAGAACCAAGTCCCCTTCTTCCAGGGTGACTATCTCGCTGATGTAGCTGATCAGGTAGGGGATGGAGAAGATCATGGAGGAGGTTTCCCCTTCCTGCCTCAGCTTCCCGTTCACCTTGAGCCAGATCTTCAGCTTGTGAGGATCCGGGATCTTCTCCTTGGGCACGAAGTCGCTGACGGGGCACGACGAACTGAAGCCCTTGGCCAGGGTCCAGGGCAGCCCTTTCTTTTTGCACTCCTCCTGGGTGTCCCTGGCCGTCATGTCCAAGCAGAGCGCGTAACCCGCCACGTGCTCCATGGCCGCCTCCTGCGCCACGGCCTGCGCTCTCCTCCCGATCACCACCCCCAGCTCCACTTCGTGGTGCAGGTTGCCGCAGTAGTAGGGCC